AGTAGAATCTAAGCAAGGGAGAAAGGTGGTTATCAAAGACTGGCTGAGATAGAAAAAGAGGGGAGATTTTTGTCAAAGGGTACAAACTTAAAAGTTTTAAGAGAAATTCTGGAAAGACTATAGTTAATAGTAATGTGTGTATACTTGAAATTTGTTCCATACGTGTAAATTTTGATTAAGGTCTTAGGCAGTCTTATCACATATAAAAATGAAGGACTATGTGAATAGATGATATATTCACTTATAATTATTTCACACTGTATGCATGCATAAAAACATCACCTTGGTCTATATATAATTTATCAATTATTCCTCAAGGAAGCTAATGGAAAAGGAGATACCATTATTCACGAAGGAAAGAACTAAAGGGCCAGTAAGATGGCTCAATGAGTAAAGGTACTTCTTTCCTTGAGACCTGCATTTGACCCCTGCAACTCAGACTAGAAGAGAACGGACTCCCAAAAAGTTGTCCTCTGACCTCCACATAAAAGCCAATGCATGCACATAACAGCACTTGCACATACATTTACACAGTACTGAAAACAAATAACTTTTTAAAAGAGGGGACTGGAGATGACTCCTTGATTAGACTCCTGGAATCCAGTTGTAGAGAGAGAGGACTGATGAGCAAAGGGGTCAAGACCAGGCTGGAGAAACCCACAAAAACAGCTGACCTGAGCAAGTGTGAGCCCACAGAGACCAGTCTGACAGCTGGGGAACCAGCATAGGGCAGAACCAACCCCCTCTGAACATGGGTGTCAGTTAGGAGGCCTGGACAGTCTATGGGTCCTCTGGTAGTGGAACAAGTATTTATTCCTAATGCACAAATGGACTTTGGGAGCCCATTCCCTATGCAGGGAGTCTCTCTCAGCCTAGATACACAGGTGAGGGCCTAGGCCCTGCTCCATATGATGTGACAGATTTTGATGACCCCCCATGGGGAGAGAATGGGGGGATGGGGTGGGGTTTGATGGGGGGCATGGGAGGACAGGAGGAAGAGGCAACTGGGATTGGTATGTAAAATAAGATTGTTTTTTATTTAAATAAAATTTATAAAAACAAGATGTAATGTAGTTAAGTAGTTTTTGGGGGGTTTTTTGTTTGTTTGGTTTATGGTTTTTCAAGACATATTGCTTTGGAGCCTGCCTTAGACCTAGCTCAGTAGACCAGGCTGGCCTCAAGCTCACCGAGATCCAACTGCTAGAAGTAGCTAAATTTTCATCAGCAAACACAGTCTTTAAGAACTACATTGTGGCCACTGTATAGTTCTAATAAATAGACCATTGACTAAGAGGGAGTTAAAATAATAAGTAAATATATATGCATCCAGGGTATAGCATCCAATTCCACTACACAGTAAATGGACCTAATAGACACTTACAGAACATTTCACCAACAGCCAGAAAATATACATTCTTATCAAAAAAGGGAACATTAGCAAGGATAGACCAACAAAAACTATTAAACTGGTAACTTATCTAATATTGCAATACATAAAATCAAAACAGAAAAGTAGCACTTTATATAGCAATAACACATTTGATAAGAAAATGCAATTATAATTACTATAGTCTTTCTCTGCATTCTCTCTTATTCTCTTTCCTGTACACACACACACACACACACACACACACAGAGAGAGAGAGAGAGAGGGAGAGAGAGAGAGAGAGAGAAATAGATTTAAATTATATGGTATAGGCCTGTGAGCTACAAAGCAAGACCTTGTTGCAAAAAATAAGATACATATATATATATATATATATATATATATATATATATATATATATCAGCAAAGTAGGCATGATAGCAAGCAACAGTATTCCCAGTACTTTTAAGGGTGAGGTAAGGTTTGTGGTCAGCCTGAGTTACAAGCCAAGACTCTGTTTCAAACAAAACAAATGGCCAAATAACCTGATTCAAAAATGGGCAAAAGGTTAGATATCTCCCACCTTCACAAAGATAATATCTCAGTTGGAGCAGACAATTTATAAAGGGCAAAAGGTAGGAAGAATACTATACTCTGTGGAGAAAAGAGCTCTTCAGCGTGATGGTTAGGACTGTAATGAGTATAGCAGTTATGAAAAATAGAATGGAAGTGCCTTAAACAAGAAGTAGGAACATGGCAGAAAGGCAATGTTAATATTGTGTGTGTTCAAAGGAGCTGAGATGCTTGCATCAAAGATACATCTGCACACATGCTGATCGCAGCACTACTCTCTACAGCCAACAAAAGGAGTCAGTGAAGATGCCTGCCAATGGATGACTGGAGTAAACTTGATGGAATATTATTCAGCCATGGAAAGAATTAAGAACATTCTTTGTAATCACACTGATGGAACTAGAAAACATTATATGGGGTAAAATAAGACAGGTGGGCAAAGGAAGATGCCACATGTTCTCATTCACCTATGAAAGAGAAGAAAGTTGATCACCCTGAATGAACAATAGTCACTATAAGACAGAAGTAAATGGGCAAGAGAAATGGAGGAAAGCTGGATAACAGATGCCAAAATTTGACTGAGTAGGAGGAATCAATTTTCCTATTCTATGTAAGACAACTATAGTCTATGACAATTTGTCATATTCCTCAAAATAATTAGAGAAGAATTTGAAGGCCCCCTACATATAATAGTGTGTGCTGTCAGCCACCCTGATAAGATAAACAAATTCCTGAAATGACCGTACTGCACCACATAAGTATAAGTAAATATCAATTAAAAATCAAAATAATTAATAATAGATTTAAAAGGTAAACAATTTTGAGGGAAAGATATATAAACAACAACAATATAAAACTGGCTAAGTACATTAAAGAAAGCTCAACAAATCATCTAAAAATGCTGGTTATGGTGTTGGAGTACATAACTCTCAGATGCTCTTGGTGAGAATTTAATATGGTACAATCATTTTTTTTAAACATCAGGCAATTTCTTTTAAAACTCAACTCTCATTTGTGCTATGGCATAGAATTTCACCCCTGCTCATTCACTCAAGAGAAATGGAAACATGCTCATAAAAGACCTGAACAAAACATTCATACCAGCCTGGTCACGTATAACAAATGAAAACTAAAACCAGCCCAGGTCTCCATATGCATCAGAAGTCAAAACAAAGTAATTACTACAGAAGAATACTATTCACCAATAAAAAAGATTAAACTACTGCATATCGCAACATGGAAAATATAAAAGCAATGGCTAAAAGAAAGTCTTACAGAAATTGTAATGGGCAAGAATATATGAAGTTCTTGGGCAGGCATAACTAAACTAGGCAAGAAAAATGAGCAATGGTTACCTCTTGAAGAGATGACCGAATGTGAAGAACTATGAAGACTGTTTTGGGACTAAACATTTATGTCCTTTCCAAATGTTTATTGTTCAAAGTTGAAAAGCCCGATATGGTAGTATTTGAAGATGGAGCCTTGAAAAAGCAACTGGGCCATGATAATTAGGCCCTTATTAATTGGATTAGTGTCAGGACCTTCTCCCTCTTGAGTCATAGTAGGTACAATGAGAAGATGGTAGTCCGCAACTCAGAAAAAGGGCCCTCCTTAGAATTCACCCCTGCAGGCACCCTGATCTTTGGTTTCCAGCTTGCAAAACTAAGAGCAGTCAATGCCTGTAGCTTAAGAATGTTAGTCTATGAAAAAGTTAAATCTCTGAACCAGTAAGGACTGGGGTAATTTTGGAGGTAATGGCGACATTCTGTATCTTGCTCAGGCTTCATGGGTATGTGCAGCTGGCAAAATTCAGAGAGAACATAGTTAAGATATGTGCACCATCTCATTGCCCATATTCTTATGGCAAAAGAAAAGTAAGCAAACAACTGAATGATGGTCAATGGTACAAATGCCAAAGCATTCAGAAGAAAACAGCTACAGATTAATTTAAAATGCATCAAAACCGGCACGATTAATAAGTGGCTAGAGAGGTGAGCGTATATATGCATAACAAAATGATAATAGTAAAATATCGGCGGTCAGTGCACAGTGTTACGCTCAAAACACTTTTAAAAAGTACTCTGGTCTTGTGTAATTTTAAAGCAAGATTTTATAAAACAATGCTTTTAATAGTACCTTAAGAATTTCTACACAACAAAATGTAGTTTATGTTTTGAAAATTAAAAACCTCATCTGCTAATGACAAATATTAGTCTTTGATACATGTCCAAGTTAAGCAGCAAAAATGCTTTCAGATAAGGAAAAACATTTAATCTTGTCAGGCACAGTGGCACACAATTGCAAATCCAGCACCCAGGAAGCTTAGTTCAATTGGAGAATAAGTTTGAGGCCAGCCTGCACTACATAGCAAAAAAAAAAAAAAAAAATCTGTCTCAAGAACAAAGAACAATCAAACAAACAACAAAAACCTAACCTCGAACAAAACTTAAGCTGTGGCCAGTAAGTTAGATCAATGGGTACAGAAGTTGGCCACCAAGCCTTTTGGACCTGAGTTCAGTCCCTAGACTCCTCCCTCGATATCCACTCAAGAGTCCTGGGGCATCCTGTGTTCATGTGTGCACATACAGTAGCTTCTAAAAAGCAAACCAAACAATACAACTTCAGAAAGATCACTAGCCTTTGACTAAGGGAAGGAAATAAACAGATTTCTTTTTCTCTTTAGAATTCATAAAGTTGATTTATGTAGGCATGCTTTTCAGGGGATAATTACAAATATTCAATGATTATAACTTATCCCAGGAAAGACTCAAGCAGAGCTCATATTTTTATGTGACTACATACTTCCTAGGAATTTTTTTTAGCTTGCTAAAGAGAATGTTTTTAAAATATATTTTTAATAAACTGTAAACTATTGCATATAAACTATCACAGGGAAGCAAAATATGAGAGTTATAAAATAACATAAGCGTTTTCTTGCTTTGACCAGCAAACACTAATTCTAACCTACATGTCCATGAAGGTCTGCATGTGTATATTTACACACTCTTAGATATGCAAAGCTCTCAAGCAGGAGTGCTCTGCCGGCCGGGTTATACATTACCTCCAGTATAGGGTTTCCAGTTATAATGCTTTCCCCGGAAAGGCATATTGTCAAAGTCTGCACACTGTTTTTCTCGAAAATCTCGGGAACCCAAAGGGCATGGCTAAAATAAAATAAAATCATAAATGGTACCATTGTTGTAAAATACCAAAACCAAGGGACAGTGTCCCTAAAATTTGTATTTACTGACCACCACCCTATCTCCTCTGGGTATCCTCTGACTTTTGTTTTACCATTTTATAATAAAGACTCACACTGAGGTGTCTGAGTCTTAAGTCTAAGTGAGAAGAAATTATTGCAGTGACTTAAACTAAGTGCTAGAAAGTTGCCGTGGAACTTTACATCATACCTCCTTACAGAGACACTCAGAAACCAGACAAGAACCTAGAACACAAGACCCTTGGTAACAGTGTCTGAAACCCAGGTGCCGAGGCTCACTGCAGGTTTACCTGAAGCACTGAGATGGAGAGTACTGAGCCAGCATCTAGCTTGTAAATTGCCATTTGCATCCCCCACCACTACAGATGCTCCCTGATGAAAACCAGAAGTTGACCTGGGGAAAATGCTAGGATTCAACTCCAAGCGCCTTCAAATTCAAGAGGTTTGGACTTATTAAAATGTAAATTTCACCTTTTAATATCACCGAAAATGAAATGATAAATTGGTACCAAATGTGCCCATTTTTAAGGGGAAAGGAAATGGTACAGAAACAATAACTGGTTATAAAAGTTTGGAATGTTTCTTTTACCTGAAAATTTTAAAGAGAAAATCCTACCAGTCTAACTAGGTCTCAATTAGAAATGTCACAGTCATCCTTTATTCAGATCTAAGTACACAAAGATTGAAAGTATAACATCTCATGGAGTGTTTGAGCAATAGGACACTCTGATTTATCTTTTCAATTTCTATTGCATTGTAGCACTTAAAAATAAAAAAAGCTATAAATTTCAAAACACTAAGAAAACTTTCCACTTAAACACAGAACAGAGTATATCATGAAAGAACAAAATGGGAAGAGGGTAATTTTGGAAATCCAACCCAGGGCTCTGTAGATGCTGGGTAATAACAGTATGTCACTGAACCACATCCCCAGTCCTGGAAATACTTAGCTCAGGATAAATGACAAGTGAGGTATAGGCATCCTCACAGACAGTCTTGAGAACTTTCCCCTAGACATCTCCCCTAGACATTTACCTTTGCTTTGTACACTGTCCAAGATCAGTAACTAATAGTAAATTTCTATGAAATGTGTAAAAATAATAGGCCATGCTGTACAAATATTTACATGACTGTTATTACTTACTACAGGCTATGGCTCAAAATTTTTAGCATATTAAGTCCAAAACTTCAGAATTGAAAATAGTGGCAGAAGCTGTACATAATGCTATGAGCCCAAATCTTAAAATATACTCAATGCAGTGAAATACTCCATCAATTCCAAACCTAAGGCTTCTTTCTGTGTAATTACTCTTTTGCCTACTTTTAGCAAGTATATCATTCTATTCTTGCAAACCCTTATTTTCAATATTTGCTAGTATTTGGATCTTTGGAATACTGACATTGGACATTGCTACATGACATTGTCATCTACAACGTTCGTGGTCAAGAACCATACAATCAAACTACAAACAGTCAAAACCTGCAAGAAAAAAAAAAAAAAAAAAAAAAAAAAAAAAACCTCACAATGTTTTAAATGTTTATGATTTGGGGAGGGCATATTCATAGTTCTTATTGATTACATATGTCTGATAAATAATATGGTTGGACATAATAAGGAATGTTTTCTAACCTAGTTTTCCTTTTTTAAATACTAATTTTTATTTGTAATTGAGTTTATGTGTTTAAGGGTACAAGAGAATATGCACATGAGTGTAGGCAAACATGAAGGCCAGCAGAGGGCGCCTGATCCCCTAGAGCTACAGTTACAGGTGGTTGTGAGTCACCCAACATGGGTTTTGGAATTGTATTTAGGTCCTCTGCAAGAACAGCCCATGATCTTAACCACTGGGCCAGCTCCCTGGTCCCTTTCTTAGCTATTTTCAAAGACTCTTTCATGAGAGCTAAAGTTGTCTGTCAGTGGTTCCCAAGCACCAAATATGTTCTTAAAGCAAATACCAATTTCAAAAATATATGTAATTTGAACTATAGATACAAGTTTTCACCTAAAACAGTTTAAACCACTTAGAAGTTTATCCAAGCACAGTTTTTAATCTAGTTGAAAAGACCAGATTGAGGTGGAAAAGTACATAACTATTTCAGGAAATATAAATAGCAAACAATAATGTCTTACAGCTTGTCTACAGGTGCTGCATGTGTGAAAGACCAATATGCCATGTAATAAGTTATGAAAGCAAACTTTGACTTTGTCCCAAAGTATTACAATTGAGATAGTTAAGACAGGAAAAGGGCCTGGAGAGATTGTTAAGACTGTGTTGGGAGGATTATTGAAAGGGAAGCCAAGTAAAGCTATGCAGGCAGGAAAGAAGAGATTATTTGTACTGAATGGTAGACACGGCCATCCTATACCAAAGTCAGGAACTGTACAGAAACACAAGGAGAAACAATAGGTCTCACACAAACACCAGTATAAAGCTCTGAGTTCACACATTAAGGCACTCATTGAATGCAAAATTAAAGCTGCTGCTTTCCAGTATTTCCTGGGGACCCTTTAAAACAGAAGAAAAACCAATAGTCAAAAATGGAAGCTGATGTTTAATGAAGCACTTGGGTGACATGACATGAAGTTTCTTACCTATTCCTTTCTTCTGAGTGCCTCTCCTAGGGTCAGCTACAATAAAATTAAAATCATTGTTGTAAATGTCGCTTAACTAGTTCTAAGTACACTATGACAGATTTCAGAGATCTTTAGGTGTGTTAGCTAGTTAATCCCTAACAACACACTCATGAAGTAATCATAATCATTTTACAATGAAAGAACTGAAGTACAGAAAGGTAGAGTGGTCATGTCGGGCCCCAACGAATGTATTTACAAAAAAGAAGAGACAGGTCAGATTTGATAAGTTTTTGAGCCAGGACAGAATAGTATCTGTCAAGAACTGATGTGAGAGGAGATGCAGTACCATTTGAACAGATACTTAGGCTTTATCTACAATTACCCATCCTCAGAAGGACAGACAAACACTTTTCAGAGGGCTACAACTGTTAGCAACTTCCTTACTTTCCATCAAACTTGCCATCTTACAACTAAGTGGTTTTTATTCTTTCTTCTGAATGGATGGATACTAAGCAAATCTTCCTAGCCTGAATGATACCCAGGCCTTGATAAGTTTCTTTTATGTACAAACTAATTACCCAAGTTACCAAGATTGGTAACTTGGCCTAGGATTACTTAACAAGTATTTAAAATTGTATAATATGTATCAGATATAACCTGGGCTTTGGGGGTAGAGGGAAAAAGAAATCCCCGCTTTCATGAAACTTGCTGTAGTTTGGCATGAGAGCATGATAAAGATGGGAAGAGGGAAGTTGATTGAATCACTGAGGGAGTGTGGAAAGAAACTGAGAGGCCTGCAAGTACAAATGCCTGCAGGTGGAATTATTGCTGCATTCACAGAACAGAGTGCAGGGCTAAGAAGGTCTGGATAGGACTGTTTCCATGTCTTTGTTTCTAGATGTTCTGCTTTCAGTTCTCTCCTGAGAATGCTCTGAATTTGTGAAGAGTAAATATAAGCTAAGCAGGAATCACATTTGTTAGTTTGGAGATGACCAAAGAGTAAATAAAGGAAGTAATTTCTGGAAGAAATTTGTAAAACCTATTTTGTTTAATTTTCTTTAATCGAGAGTTTAATGTGTAGTATTTTTTTAGGTGACTTAAGGATGGTAATATCTATACTGTCCTAAAGCCAGTACAGAAAACAATGTGAACACTAACCAAGCATCCTCTTCCCAAACAAGGAGAGCCCTATGGATCCAAGAGCAATTCCACAGATCTCAGCCTCCAGGGTTTGTATTTTCAAATTAAAAACAATAACAACACATTCTTATCACCATTTTTCCAGATAGGTAGGCATTAACACATCTTATAAACTATATTGTACTTTCAACTATTTGGATAGATAATCTTACCTTTTGCCTAAACTCAACATATCTTATTGGTAGATCAATCTAGAAAGAAGGCTAATCCACTGACTGGGTGTAAAAATTGCTACACAGAGGAGTTTCAGTGCTTGCTAACAAACTTGGATGTGGCATTCCTATTACAAGACTTTAATCCTGGCTCTGTCTCAAGGAAGAGGGTAACCTTGGCAAATTCTAAATCTCTTTACGTCTTTCTTTCATTTGTAAAATACGTCCCAATGCCCTAATCTCGAAGAAAAAATGCATCCCAAATGCATGTCTTACTGGACACTGAGTGAGAATGGGCTAAGAATGGAACATTTCTTTCCCCTTTCCTCGCCAGACCCTGAAGGAAACTGGCAGAGAGGACAGCATCGACTTCTGCATCATCAGAGATAAGCAGGGAAGCTGCTCAACTCTCTTGTGTTACTACTTTCCTACATTTTACAAGTCCCGTCTTTCTGCCTACACGCCCAGTACACACATGCTTCACTCTTCCCATGCTTGACCAGCTTTCAACACTCTCAGAGGCTTCCTTCTTCAGGAGAGCAACATACTCTGCTTCAAACTCAAATGCTACTCTACTTAGCAAGCTGTACATTTGACAAGTTAGTGTGAAGCATGAACACGCTTGATCGCCTAGCCAGACAGACACCTTTGTGTATATTACACAAAGATATGGTATGGGCTAATAGAGGTCTAGCTTCTGGATTTCTCTTCACAAAATCTCCAACTCCCCAATTACCACATTCTATCTTCCTGTTGAACTAATGTGGTCCAGACATAGGAACTTCCAAAATTAAATGTGATAGTCGCATATAGGGAGTGTGAAGGAGAATGGTAACCATAGGGTCCTACATTGGAATGCTTATTTCCCAGGTTGTGGAACTGTTGGGAGAGGATTTGGAGGTGTAGCCTTTGTTGGAGAAAGTATGTTACTGGGCCTCTGTCTCTCTGTCACTCTCTTCAAATATTTCTAAGTTTCTTTGTTTTATTAATTTTAAATAAAAAAACAATCTTATTTTA